ACCCTGTGATCACACCTGGCCACACCACCCTGTGATCACACCTGGCCGTACCACTCTGTGATCACACATGGCCACACCACCCTGCAGATCACACCTGTCACACAACCCTGTGATCACACCTGGGCACAATGAATAAATCCTTTCCTGTCTTCACCCACTAGTCTCTTTAACTGGTCTGTGAGGGAGGCCACGTGCAGCTTGTTTGAGCTGTCAGGGTCCAGCTCTGGTCCAGCTTTAGGTATCCTGAATGCTGGGCTTAGGCTACAGAAGTCACCCTGTGGCTTGATAAGGGCTTTTATTTTGTTATTTGATTTCACGGGTGTGGATGTTTTCCTGTATGCATGTATGTGTACCATGTGCGTGCCTGGTGTCCATGGAGGTCCTGGACCTGGAGTTAATGTGAATGACAGCGTTGGTGCTGAGGACCAAACCACGCTTCTGCTAGAGCAGACAGTGCTCTTAGTTGCTGGACTGTTCCTACAACAATCAATAAAGTGTCTTATGATTAATTATACATTCCCATGATGAGCCATCCTGGTATGGAAATGGAGGCACAGAGTCTCATTTTTCTCAGTCAAAACAATTGTAGACCAGGATAGGCAAAGTCTGGGAGGCCAGGGAGTCTTATGGTCCAGAGTTAGTCTGCTTCTCACAACCTAGAAGTCAGCTGGGCCCCGTCCCAGGGCTTGGACCACATCTTCTGAGCTCTGAGAGTGACTTCTGAGACTGTGCAGCTTACGCGGGCTCTGCTGTCCCCTTAAAGCCTCCGATAATAATTCCGCAGCATCTACGCATAGAGTGACCAAGGAACTAGCCTGCTTAAAAACAAACCTGGATTTTGTTATTTCCTGATAGGAGAAAGCCAAAAGATGAACAGACAGTTCGCCATAGTTCCCAGGAACAGGGAATCATGGGACAGCACCTGCACCCCGGGGCCTCAAGGGAGGCACTAGACTCCTGAGGGACAAATGAAAACCAGGTGTCAGGCCTCTACTATTATTACTATCCTCCTCCTCCTCCTCCTCCTCATCATCATCATGATCATCATCATAGTCCTACATTTCACGTTCACTGAAAAAACAGACTATATCACTTCCCCGTACTGTCCCCGTTTCTTCAAGATGCTTTAGTCCTTGTATGAGGTGACCACAGTCTCACAAGCGAATAACCCACTAAATTATGGACTTTGAGTAAGTTGGGAACTCCAGAGCCTTCCCTATGATGAGGATACGGAGAAGTGGTTTTTCTTTATGTCTCAGTTTACCTGTTACCACATGGAGTTTTTCATTGATATCCGGGTTCCCAGTAGCCACACAAGGATTAGTCTTGGCACTCACCAGTACGATTGCTTACCCGATGTTAGCCAGCTATTGATGTGTACTTAGCTTAGTGTTGAAACTTGATGTCCCCAAGAGGAAGTTAAAGAATTCTGGGGTTATGCTATGCATGTGGCCACACAGAAAATAATTTTAAAAATATGAACACTTAATTTAAAGAATCCTGAATTAACTGGAAGTCTACATTCAGGAATTCTTTCTCTTTTTTTTGTCATCATTGTCTTGTTTTTGTTTTCACTTTGTTTTTTAAAGCTTGTGACAGGTTTTATTTTCTGTCCATTCATTCATCCACCTATTCAATGGAACAAATATTTGTTGGAAGCCCCCATGGCCAACACTGAGCTAGCATCTGAGATCAGAGTGTGTGCAAACTCAGATTTTGCATTTTAGTGATAACAGTAAAAGAATTGCATCCAAATAATATAAATGCAGAGGAGAAAAAGGCACAGTAAGGTGCAAAAAGGAACTTCCTAAACACTCCCAGTGAGTTCTTCCCTGATGAAGAGACCTCAGGCTAAACCACTCCAGTAGGCAGCTGCCTGCCTTACCAACTGAGCTGTCTTCCCAGCCCTGACCTAAGGCTTTTTACTTAAATTAATGATGGGTATCATTTTTTCCCCAGAGCGATAAAAATTAGCATGAAATTTCACTTTTGTATCCTTTCTCTGTCTGCAGACTTTCAGACAGTGTCTAGACCCATCACAAACCATCTTAGGACCGGGAGAGTGAGCCTCCGTGTGGAACACACTTGAAGTGTCTAGATCCATTACAATCTGTCTTAGGACCGGGAGAGTGAGCCTCCGTGTGGAACACACTTGAAGTGTCTAGACCTATCACAAACTATCTTAGGACCGGGAGAGTGAGCCTCCGTGCACGTGGCACACACTTGACTGACTTGCAGCCAAGCACAGCACTAACTGACCAGTGTGTGCTTACCACCTCATTCCTAGGGGCAACGAAGAACTAAATGAGAATAAGACGCTGGGAACAGAGTCCGGGTCGCCAGATGCGCGCGGATGAAAACACAGGTACAGATCTGCATCTAAATTGTCGCATAAATGATACAGGTATTCAGGATATCACAGACGACTGTAAAATCAGCAAGAGATTACGTAAAGTCACCTTCCACAGGCGCGCTCTCTTACTCCTTCCTGCGTCCTTCCCTCCTTCCTTTCTTCCCCTCCCTTCTCTTGAGATTGGGTCTCACTATGAAGCCCTTGCTTGCCTGGAACTCAATATGTAGACCAGACTGGCCTCAAACTCACAGACATCCACCTGCCTCTGTCTCCCTAGCGCTGGGATTAAAGGTGCGCACTGTCATGCCCAGCAGCTTAAATGCTTTTTATAGCATCTCAGTTCTCTCCTGGAGAATACGAAAGAAAACAAATTCTCTGTGTGTGTGAGAGAGAGAGCATGACCCAAGCCACCATTTGTCCACTTATACCCCCACCCCGCCCCGCCCCGTTCCACACACAACTGCCATTCTATGAAAAGAGAGCTTTCTCCCTTAGACCTTCGAACTTCAGTCATGGGCTCCATCTTGTCCGAGCTGGGTCTGCCCAGTTTGTTAGAAGAGAGCTTCCTCGTCTCTGTAATGGGGCTGTTTTGTACTTCACATCCCTCCAGCTGGGAGAGCGAGGTCAGCATCCTTTCCTTCGCTCCTTCCTCCAGATAAACCAACCTTGGAGCTTGTGCTCTGGTCCCAGTGTGGGTCAGCAGCTGGCTTCTCACTCATCCTGATGGTTTTAAAATAGCACCTCCCTCTCTCTCTCTCCGCTCCAACTCCATCCAAGGCTTCCGCTCTCTAGCGTATCATCCGCCCTGTCTCATTCGTCCATCACTACTCTGTGGACCTGTCAGCACCTTCCCACCACAGCAACCAGATGTGCAAGCAGCCAGCTCATTCACAGGTTTCCTTCCTTGCAAACGATTCCACTATGTACAGCATCACAACCATCCTCCCAAGGTGCTTCTAGTCTGCATGGTGCTCGCTGCTCTTGTCTGTGAGTCCGTACATCCAGCAATCAATCACTCTTTTCTAGCTTCTGGGTTGGTTTTTTGTTTTTTTTTTTTTCTCTTTCCATTCCTGATAGATTCTAAATTCTATCGTGGCAGTCTTGCAAGTTCACGGGCAGCGCTCAGCCCAGAAAACTGTCTCCTCACAGACACCTCCTGACTACTCAGAGCAGCTGGATGCAGGCACAGTGGAGCTGGCTGCAATCACTGCCGGGGAGTGGGCAAGGGTTTCCTCTAGATCCTGAGAGCTGCTGCCCGCATTGCTCCAGAATCTTCTTTACCCACTTTATCCTCAAGCCTTTCCCTTTCTTGCCGTCAGCTGATACTCTGGCTTCCCGTTTCATTGGACAAATGGAACTGAGCGGATGAGAGTTTCATCCGGCCCCATTATCCTTTCTTAGGTCTTTAAAGAAGCGTGCACATGTAGTACCCTCAGTGGCCAGAAGAGGCATCAGATCCCCTGAGCGAAGTCACAGGAGGATCTGAGCCGCCCAGTGTGGGTGGGTGCTGGGAACTGAAATCCAGTGCTCTCTTCTCAAACAGTTTTGATCCCAGAGTCCCTGTTCTGCCTTTCTCTCCTCTTTCTAACAAAGGCCCTGCACTCGGCCTCCCTCTACCCGTGTATCTGCATTCTCACACCCCAAGTTTTACCTCAGGGATGTTATTAACATTTTCTGATTGTTTTACCTTCTTCTCCGTAGATATTTGCGTAGTCTCACCCCTCTCCTTCACCAACTAAACAAATCCACAGTCACCCGACACCAGCGCCTCCCCACAAAGGCCTCTGGGAATCTTACGCTCTCTAGGAATCCTGTCTATTCTCTTCCTTCTCCAGCTTTTGGTCTGTTGGCCTTATATTTTCTCCTTGGCTGAGATTCCCTCCACAAACCTACAGATCCAGCTTTCACGTCAACCACTCCAAGGAACAACCCTTGCCGTGGTCACCATAATTCTTGTGCTCTTTAGATGAAGCTGCTCTTGGATGCTTGACCATCTCTGAAGCCATGTTTCCTTCCCTCTGGCTCCCAGACTTCACAGCTCCGAGACCCTGCCGCCTCCCTCCCCCCACACCAGCCTTTTCCATTCGCTTCTTCACTCACCAGACAGCACAGAGTCCCTGCGGCTCAGGCAGAGCCTGTATTAGTTGTTTTTTTTCACTGCAGTCACAGCATAGTTGTCAAAAGCAACTTAAGGAAAAATAGGTTCTTCCGGCTCATGGTTTGACTGTGCAGTCCACTGTGGCAGGGGAGGTGTGGTGGCTGGTCACACCGTAGTGGAGTGGGAAGCAGACAGAGGTGACTGTTAGTGCTCAGCTTGCTTTCTTTTTGTTAATTTTGAGCTGCCAGTCCAGGGAACGATGCTGCCCACATTCAGGCGGGGTCCTTAGTTAAACTCCACTGGAAACGCCCTGCTGAACATGCCTGTGGGTGTTTCTCCTAGGCAGTTCCAAGAGTGGCCATCATGTCGTCTTTGCACATGTAGCCACCACGTGGCTTCAGTCGTCACCTTCTATACTTTATGTCCAGCCATACTTTTCTGAACTAAGAGACACACCCAACACGTGCCTTCAGACTCCCTGACTGGACTCTTCAACTCAGCCGTGAACTCAGGATCTGATGATCTGTTCTCTTCAAATCCCAATGGAGAGTCAGTCCAGTGTCCAGGGCTGGCAAGATGGCTCAGCAGTGCAGAGCACTGGCTGCTCTTGCAGAGGACCTGGGTTTGGTTCCCAGTACCCACTTGACAGCTCATAACCACCCATAATTCCAGTTCTAAGGGCTCTGACCCCCTCTTCTGGCCTCCATAGGTACTACACACACATGGAGCGCACACACACACACACACACACACACACACATACACACACAGAGAGACAAAACATTTATACACATAAAAATAAATCTTAAAAATATTCCTGTCCATAAATGATAACACATTCTATAATTTAAGCTTTAAAATGATGTATTATTTATGTAACCTTTAGATTAGCATACCTCTTGTATGTTCATCTTGCTCCATTACAGTAACTAATGTTTACATCTAAAAATTCTCCCCATGCTTTATCTATGTGCTTGAGATGCCAATCTTGGGTTCCACGCGTTCCTCCTCTTAGAGTTGCTAAGTGGTAGAGAGACTTTGTTCATCAAGAAGTATTCTTCGTGTTCTGTGAGGTAGCTGTCTGTGGAGCAGCCCGCACTCTGTTGTCTTTGTTGACTAAAACAAAGCGATACAGCGAGACATTTAACACAGCTTTGATTGTGTTCCCAACAGGCGACCCCCTCCAGGATAACTGGAGCCCTTTTATTCTGTTATGTTCTGCATAGTCTCCAAATCCCTGGTGGATTTTGGCATCTGGTGACTGCCTGCAGAAAGGCTCCTCATTCAAAATAAGCGTTTGTATGGCCTTGTCCATTACCTGGTAGCATTAGGAGCTGCTAACATTCTCTGAGGGAGTGGCGGATTTATTCTGCCCCGTGATCACTGTTTTCACAGCAGAGACACTAGGTGGGTACCAGCCTGGCACACGTTCCTTCTGTGCAAAGAGTCGGGCTCTTTGACAGCCCAAGGCTCACAGCCTGAGCGTCAGCAGCAGGCAGTGCACAGCCCCAGCACATCCCATTGGCTGCCCTCCTCTGCTATGCTGATGTCGCTGCTTCCTTTCCTGCGGGTCATCAGGATGGACATGAGCTGACATCCCCTTGCTGTTATTGCATTTTCTCTGAGTACTACGGAGTTGAACAAATCTGTAGATAACTACCAGCTGGGCCAGGAAGATGGGTTAGCGGGGGAAGGCACTTGTTGTCAACCCTAGCAGCCTGACGGTGCTCCTGGGACACAGGTAAGCCGGAGGTAGAGAATCAACTCTGGAAAATTGTCCTCTGACCTCTACACACTGGCGAGTACACCTCTAACCTTGTAGCTTTAATTTATTACGTAACTGAAGGAGATGTGTTTATATCTCACACAACCGAGGCACGAAAAAATGGAGGATGATTTCTTACCAGCCACAGGCAAGGAGAGCTCTGGTGTAACATCCAAAGCCATGCTGTTCTTAAACAAAGGAAGCATGGGGATTTATTCAGATCCATACAGGGAGGGCCCATTGCTGAGCGTGCTCAGTTAAGGAACACATCATGAGCGTTGTGGATTAAGGCGTTCACTCCTGAGCATGCTCAGTTAAGGAGCACCCTCTTAAGAATGCTCAGGTTAGGGCCATGGAGCTTATGTCTGAAGATGAAAGGGATGGACAGGAACACCTATGGGCATGATCTACATGTGCCATAATGTTTTTGCTGAAAAGAGGCGAAGGTTGCTCTGAAGGTGCCCTGATGTGGGAGTCACCACCGAGGGTGCCTGCCTCCCCTAGTGGGGACAACACCGTAAAGTGACTTCTCTTGATCCATGAAGCAGTCTTTAGGATTTGTCTTCTTCCTTCTCCTGCCGTTTCTCTTCCTACTCTTCTTTTTTGTGTTAGAATGATATCACATCAGAGTTAATCTATCCCAGTTTTCCTTGGTTGGGGTCCTGGCACCCCTTTTCCCCAATTCTCTGCCCTCAGGTGACTTCTCTGTAGCTTCCATTTGCAAAGTTGAGTGATTGTGGTATCACTAGGACAAGAAAGTGCACACATCACTCAACAATGCCCACTTGTGCTTCATACCCTGTGTTTGCTCTGCTATCTTGACTGTGAGCATGACGTCACAAATGTCTCAAAGATCCTAGTTTGAGCTGACAGCAAACACATGGTATAAAGTACAAGTCCAGCTTCTTCTTTCCTTCCTTCCTTCCTTCCTTCCTTCCTTCCTTCCTTC